GATGCTGCTGCTGCTGCTGATGATGATGATGATGATGATGATGCTGTTGATGATGTTGATGATGATGATGATGATGATGATGATGATGCTGATGATGATGATGATGAGGAGGAGGAGACGAAAGGCATGATGATGATGAGGAGGAGGAGGAGGAGAAGGAGGAGCAGGAGGAGGAGGATGAGGAGGAGGAGCAGGAGGGGGGAGGAGGAGGAGGAGGAGGACGAGAAGAGGAGGAGAGGAGGAGGAAGCAGGCAGAATAGGAGGAGGACGCGAGAGGCGGATGCGGAGGCGGAGGACGGAGCGGAGGGAGGGGAGGGGAGAAACGGAGGAGGAGGGAGGAGGAGGAGGAGGAGGAGGAGGAGGAGCATGAGGAGGAGGAGGAGGAGGAGGAGGAGAAGGAGGAGGAGGGGGGGGGGGAGGAGGTGAGGAGGAGTAGGAAGGGAGGAGGAGGAGGAGGAGGAGGAAGGCAGGGAGGGAGAAATTGGAGACAGGCAGGAGGAGGAGGAAGAGGAGGAGGAGGAGGAGGAGGAGGATGAGGATGAGGAGGAGGAGGATGAGGCAGGAGGAGCAGGGAGGCTTCGTCGGTGTGACAATGGAGCCACCAGGAACCTGGGGCAGGAGGAGCAGGAGGAAGGCGGGGAGGAGGTGGAGGCTGGAGTCGGCTGGAGGGGGGAGGAGAGGAGGCTGGTGGAAGGTTGGGCGAGCGGATGGAGGAGGTAGGGCGGGACCATTATTCATCTATCTTCCTTCCTCCTCTTCCTCCTCCTACTCCTCTTCCCTCCTGCAACGTCATCATGTGTTTCTTCTCGTCTCTCAGTTGTTGGACTCGCGGAGCCCGCAATCTTACTTCGACATTGGTTTTGCTGTTTTTCTCAAACGCGGTGTGCGCATTTCAGTTTCTCTAGAGGCTCGCCCGGGTTGTGCGACAGCGCCTGCACTGCTGCGAGTCGTAGCTTGTGCTGGCGGAGTCGCGCCTGGCGGTTCGAAATCCAACCGCGTTCCCCTCTTATTCCTCACGCGTACCCTCCGCTCCTCCTCCTCCTCCTTCTCCTCCTCCTTCCCCGTCCTGAGGCTTCGCCTTCCGCAGCCGCCTTGGCTCAAGCCGTTTTACTGCCATCTTGCCTGTCCCAGTTCTCTTCCGGGCCTCGGGCTCCACGCGTGGAGCGGGCCCGGCTGTCCGTGCCAGCCGCCGTCTCGCGCGCCCCCTGGCCGTGACAGCCGCACCGTCGCCGCCGGCGCTGCGCACGACCACGGCGCCGCACGGCACGAGGCAGACGTTGCGGGCGGTGCGGCCGCGGGAGCGCCATCGGGTGGGGCGGCGGTTCCGGCGCCGTGCCAGGCGTGGCGCGGCCACGACCCAGGACGGCCCGCAGCGACGACGTCTCGAAGGGCGGGGGCGTGCGGGAGTGCCCCGGAGTTTCTGCGCGCGCGCGCTTCCTCACGCCATCGTCATCAGCACCATATCGTCATCATCACTGACAGCATCATCATTCTGCGTCGCGCAGGCCGACGCCCAGCTCGCCTTCATGTGCCGCGTCGGGTGGGTGCACGCGGTGATCTCCGAGGACCCCCGAGCCTTCCGACCTGCGGGTCGTAGGCCATAGTGCCACACGATATTAGAGAGGAACAACAAAACCACATCAATTTTAACCTCCAGGACTCCGCTGTCGGGGCGCTGGAGATTGGAAAGGCCTTACAGCCGGTGCCGCCGACCCCGAAGGGGGACGACGACCACGACGGCGGCGACGACGCTGACGTGGGGCAGAGTCCTCAGTGATGCTTCGTGGGGCTTCTTCGGATCGCGCTCGTAGACCTCTGGGGGGCAGTTTTGGGTCCTCTTAGGAGCATCTTGGCGACAGCCGCTTGGGGGTCCCTTCGAGCTTCTTCGGGGCCTCTTGGGGGCCTCTTGGGCTCTTGGGGGCCTATTGGTGCCTCTTGGTGGCCTCTTGGGGGCCTCTTGGGGGCCTCTTGGAGCCTCCTGGGAGCTTCTCGGGGTCGAGAGCTCGAAATGTTCTTTCGGGCTCCCGTGTGGGTACCCTGGAGACCTCTAGGGCTGTCTTGGGGCCCTCGTGGGTCCTTGTGGGGCCGTCTTGGAAACCTCTTGGGGGCCTCTTGTGCCGATCTTGGTGGCATTGACTTTGAGCAGCCATCCGATGCATCCGTCAGAGGTCACAAGCCCACATGCACTCATATGACAAGCGTGATGTCCGTGCGTGGGATCCAAGCAGTAGTTTTTAGCTTTGTCGTTATGTAAGCTGTTTACGTGTTGCAAGCGTATAACGCCAACCACAGGACGCTGACACTACGGCACCGATAATGGGGCACCATAGGGTCGCTGTGTGGTAGCGGCCGTAGAACACCAATCGGAGAGCACAACCACAGGCCTCCCGCCATCGAGCACCAACACGCCAACCGCAAGCCGCAGCGTAACTGTCCAGTCCCTTACAGTGTAAGACCAGTGCAGGCACACATTGGGGAACAATGGATCATTGATATCGGTACCGTTCTTCTGGAGGGCCCTAGCCGCCACGGCTGTTTTCTCGTCCAGAGTCCTGGTCAGAACGTGCTCTGGGAACGGTCAGGGGAGAATCGGTTTTCTGTTCTTGTGCTCCACCATAAATTTCTTTTGCACACGTCCGCGGCCAATTCCTCATGCGGCCCCTTCCCAGCGCGCGGCTGGGGCCGCCAGCAAGGACAGCGACCTGCTCGCCTACGGCTGCCCGAACACCTTCTTCAAGATGGACAAGCGCCGCCGCCGACAACGACGACCCCCCAGATTCGGTCGTCGCAAACTAATATTGCGGCCCCCGCGGGCCTTTTCCTGGCCCTGGGCCGTCCAGCAAGCACTCTGGATGTAGAATCTACCCCGGGTCAGGGGCGCATCGACTCCGCCCGTGGTCGCTTTCGCCCGGTCGTTTCCGCCATCGGTATCTGTCGCCCGGTCGTCTTCGCCTGCTGGTCGCTTGCGCCCGGTTGTTTTCGCCAGCTTCTTCTCGCCCGGTCGCCTTCTTCGCTTGGTCGCATCCGCCGGTCGCCGGGGCGCCCTCGCCCGACCGCTCTCGCCGCGGCCGCCTTCGCCCGCCTGCCCCTCCTGTCAGGACCCGCCCGCTCTCGAGCCGACGCCCCGCTCGCCAGCCCCGCCCGAGGAGGTCCGCCCGCCCGCCGCGCCCCCCCCCCGACCCACCCCATCGGGCCCGCCCGCCCGGCCCGCCGGTGGGGCCTTACCAGGTCGCGCGCTTCGAGCTCCGCCCCCTCGGGGCCCTCCCCCGCTCGCGCTGGAGCCCCGCCCGCGTGCTCGCCGCGCCCCGCCCGCCCGAGCCTCCCGTCGCATGGGGCACGCCCCTCCGTGGCGGGCCCCCCCCGCCGTCGGGGCCCACCCGGCCCGCTTGCGCGAGTGTCCGTCCGCGCCCGTGGGCGTTCGCCCGCCCGCTTCGTGCCCGGACGTGCCCGCGTCGTGGGAGAACCAGGGCGGGGGGTTCTTCGCCGTTCGCGGCCTCCGGGGGCCCCTCGCCGGGTCCGCGACCGTCAACGGACCCACTCGGCAAGAAGAGCCGGGGCTCGGCGGGAGGGTTGCGATCTTGGGGGCCGCGCAGGGAAAAGACATCAGGACATCGCACGTCGGGGTGCACCTTCTGGCGCCCAGCGCGGCCTTGGCTTTCGACGCTTGGGCTCAGGCCGCCAGGGCGACCTGGCGGTGCTCCGACGAGCACCGCCCCCGTGGCGGGCCGCCAGGGTGCAGCGCGGCGTTCTGCTTCCGCCCAGCCAGAGGTGGAGGCCTCCCACACAATCGGGGTCCGAGCAGACGGGGTCGGGGGATCGCGCCGCATCGCGGAGGTGTCGTCGGTGCGACTCGATGTGGTGTCCAATTTTACGCCGACGTCGCCAACGCACTGGCGAGTCGGCGCGGTCCTCTGGCCCCATCTGCTCGGACCCCCTTTGGGAGCCCTCCACACGGCGTCACCCCAACGTACTTATAATATATGTGCGTCGCCCCCCCCCCCCCCCCCCAGGGGCGACGCGCGCACCGAGAAATCTCATAGCATGTGTGTCGCGGCGGGCGCTTTCTGGCCACACCGCTCGGGAAACGATGCACTGCAAGATGGGTATACTATATGTTCGGGTCGGACGCGCGCCTCCAAGGAGGACATCTAGTATTAGTATGACCCCGTGCGTCCTATCCACGTCTGCACGGGCGGCGGGCGGGCTGCGGGGGAAGTTCCCCTCGCCACGCCGCGGGCGCAGGTACGGCGACGGCCAGCGCATCGCGCTGCCCTGCCTGCAGCCGGGGCACGCCGTGGACGGCCCGGACCCCGCAGACGACGAGGACCTCGGGGCTCAAGATCAAGCAGTGGCGAAGCGTCCTGGCTCGCCTATAGCCCTGCCGCAAAATTTTCTACGAACTTTTTGTGGTTCCCACGAAATGTTATCAGAACATGTTTGGCGGAGACCGTCTTGGTTTAACCCATCGGGAATCTGTTTTATGAACATTGTGTTTGTTCTTAGGACATTTTTGGGGGTTCTAAGCACATCTCGTGGTAGGACTATAGGCATGCCGGGACGGCCGGTCCCTGCTCAACAGGAGACGGGGGTCAGTGCAGGCGGGGGTCCGGCAGAGCGCCAGAGTTGGCGGGATCCTGCAGAGCCAGGGGTGCCTTGATCCAGGCCTGCGTGCCGGGTCCCGCAGGAGCCTGCGGATCCCGACCGACCCGGGCGTGGATTCGCCCAGGTCAGTAGGTCCCCAAGGAGGAGGAGGAGGAGGAGGAGGAGGAGGAGGAGGAGGAGGAGGAGGAGGAGGAGGAGGCAGCCTCCTCCGCACGCCGCCATGACCTGCGCCGAACCCGCTCGGGCACAGACCGTTCCTGGTGGGTGCGGCAATTTCGCGCCGTGCTGACGCGGCGACGACCCCAGCGCGGGCGTTCCAGGATGAGCGCCGCCAGAGGCCGAGAGTCGGCCGATATCGAACCGAGCTGTCGGAGGGCAGTGATCGTTCACGGTTGAACGATCCACGGAGCGTCAGGAACTAACGTCGACGTCTTCGAGACGTGTCATATCGGTCCCTGGCCAGTGCCGGGAGATGCCATCCCCAGCCTCCCTCGCGGCGGGACGAGTGAATCGAGGCAGACGGCTTCCCCCTTGTCCTCAGCTTGGGCCCCCAGACGGGGCTTTCAAAGAACGACTCTGGATGAAAAACAACTGCCCTCGGGGGTGGGGTCTGCGAGGCCTCTCGAGCCGCCCTGGGATTCCAGAGCCCCGAACAAGGGCGAGAGAGCGCGAACATCCTTCGCACGTCCGTTGGAAGGCAATGGCTTCGAGGGGTCCTCTCGGAGGAAGGGTTGTGCCGAGGGCCCACGCCACGAGCAGAGGCGTGACACGCCTTTCGCACGTCCGTTGGAAGGCGCTGGCTTCTGCCCCTCGAAGCCGCCCTCGGGGCCCTGTCGGAGGAGGGGCCGTGCCGAGGGCCCACGCCACGAGCAGAGGAGTGGTACGGGTGGTCCGGGCCGTGCCCGCCCGGAGCCGGGCCCGTGTGGGCCTGGGCGGTGGTGGTCAGCCAGGCGCGGAGGGGTTCAAGCAGTGGCGAAACGTCCTGGCTCGCCTATAGCCCCGCCAAGCAATGTTCTAGGAACCTTTGGCGGTTTCCACGAAATGTTCTTGGAGCATTTCTGGTTGGGACTGTCTTGGTTGAACACATCGGGTTAATGCTCTAAGAACATTGTTTCGGTGCTTCGAACATTTTTGGGCTCTAAGAACATTACATGTCGTGATAGGACTATAGGAATGCCGGGACGGTCGGTCAATGCTCAAGACCATGACCCTCCAGGAGGGCCAAATAATAACACCAGGGCGTCGACGTCCTGACTCTTGTCGAGGTTTGAGGCAGTCCAGGTGGATCTAGGGGTCTGCAGTGCCATTTTTTTTGGCGCTCTGGGAGGTCAGGGGGGGAAGGGGGGAAGGCTTCTTATACATATAACGGCGCACCGGGTCCGAGGGCCCGGGGCCGGGACCTCGACCACAAATGTGCACCCCGGGGGGCCCGGAGGCTCGTCGGGGCTTGCCGGAGGCCTCCCAGGTCAGACAAGACGGCCCCAGAAGCGCCCAAGACGGCCCAAGAAACTTCCAAGAGGCCTTCAAGAGGGCTCCGAGATGCTGACGATGGCCTCCAGACGTCCAAGGACGCCCCCAAGACGCCCCAAGAAGCCTCCAACATGCGTCCCAAGAGGGCCCCTAGACGCAAACATTGGCCAATTCCCTTCGTAAAACGTACATGTTTCACAGAGTTGCCTTTTGGGCTTTCCGACGTTACAGGACGGCCCAAGAGGCGCCCAAGACCGCCCCAAGACGGCCCAAGAAGCTTCCAAGAGGGCCCCTGGACAGCCCAAGAGGGCCCCAAGACGGCCCAAGAGGCGCCCAAGATGGCCCAAGAGGGCCCCAAGACGGGCCCCAGAGGGGGCCCAGAGGGGACCACGAACCGCAAGCTCGAGCCTTCCGCCCCAAGAGGCCGCCAGGAGGCCTCAAGGAGGCCCCTCAAGAGGCCCCAGGAGACCCCCAAGAGGCCCAAAGGAGGCCCCCCAGAAGCCCCAAATCGGCTCCAAAAATTTGCTTCGAACCTGCTTCCAGGAGGCCCCCGACAGGTTACGAGGCTCCCGAGAAGCTACGTCAAACTCCCAGAGAGCGGTGACGATCCTAGCTAGAACCTAAGCGCGCGCGAAGCGCGCGCGTGGTTCTAGTAGAAGGATGCTGCTTCTCAGACGGAGGCTGCTTCTTAGACGGAGGCTGCTTCTCAGAAGGAGGCTGCTTCTCAGAAGGAGGCTGCTTCTCAGAAGGAGGCAGGGAGAGGGGGGACGGCTTCTCAGAAGGAGGCTGCTTCTCAGCGTGCGCGGGCCCGCGGGCCTCATCCATGGATGTATAAGGCCGGCGCCTTCTCTCCACACGCACCCATCCCTTCCAGCGGTTGCCCCCCCCCCCCCCCCCCTGTTGGGGACTGCACAGGACGTGTCACACCAGGGTGGGGAGGAGGAGGAGGAGGAGGAGGAGGAGGAGGAGGAGGAGGAGGCGGGGAGGAGGAGGAGGAGGAGGAGGAGGAGGAGGAGGAGGAGGAGGAGGAGGAGGAGGAGGTGTGGTTTTCGATCTGCGCCGTTGGGACGTTGCCCCCGTCGGGCCGCCTCTGGGCGCGGCAGAGAGCTCCGCCGAGGGCCTCGCCGGGCCCCCCGGTGTGCGGGCTGCAGGCCGCGCCCTCTGCACACCTCGGGCCGAACGCAAGGGGGGGATAGGGAAAGGGGGGGTACGAAGTCTGCTGCATGCAGCTGGTTCTACTCGGGGGTGGACAGAACCCCCAACAGTGATACGTCGATTAGTGAATTGTCCATTTTCGGTTCTCGAGAGGGCGCCGTGACCGTTATTTTCCAGGTTTGCGCCTTCCAGGTTTGGGCCTCAGGTCGTTTTCACTAAACCACGTTTTACTAAATGGGGGTCTGTCCATCCCCGATCTACGGCCCCACCGAGGGGCCCGTTCCTCCATGCCTGGGCGCCTCTGGCGCCGGGAGGCGCCGGGAAAATCAGCTACGTGAGCTGAATCTCAAACCCCCTATTTCCCCGACCTTCCAAGAGGGATGAAAAATAGCACCAGGACGTCGACGTCCTGATTCCTGTCGAGGCCTGAGGCGCTCCAGATAGATCCATAGGTCTGTTGTGTTATTTTTAGCACTCTGGAAGGTCAGGGTTGCTATCCCCCCCTTCAAGGGAGGAGAAACCACCCGGACCGGACAAGTGGCGTTCACTGAACGGCCCTGGTCACTGAACGGCCCTCGGTGTTTACTAAACTGCCCTGCCCTGTTTTTTTCCTTCTCTGGGTGCGTTTACTCACCCTGGCTTCGCGTGTTGGGGTGGTTATTGTCGTGGTGGCTGTTCTGCCCTCTACCCCTCTCCTCTCGCCCGGCCCGCGCGCCATGCCCCTCGGAGTCCGCCGACCCCGGCGCGCCCTTCACCCCGAGGCGCTCCTCCACGGCCCCCTGGGGCCCCCCTCGGCAGCCCAGGGGCGGCCTGACCGCGCCCTGGCGCTGCAGCAACACCGCCCCCCGTCGTCGTCGTCGTCGTCGTCGTCGTCGTCGTCGTCGTCGTCGCCGCCGCCGCCGCCGTCGTCGCTGTCGTCGTCGTCGTCGTCGTCGTCGTTGTCTTCGTCGTATTCGTCGTCGTCGCTGTCGTCGTCGTCGTCGTCGTCGTCGTCGTCGTCGTCGAGTCGTCGTCGTCGTCGTCGTCGTCGTCGCTGTCGTCGTCGTCGTCGTCGTCGTCGTCGCAGGCCCCTTCCCAATGAGGCCATTTGCCTTTGTTTTCCCTCCCCTCCACGGCGCCGCATTCCTGTCGTGACGCGGGCCTCCGGGGATCTCGACCGCTAGGGATTGAACAGTTTTGGCACGACTTCAAAACAACCCGTTCTGTACACCCCCGAGGCGCCCTCTCGAGGCCGTTGGCCTTGTCTTACCTCCCCTCCCCCAGCTCCGCATCATGTTTCCGTCTTCGGGAGCCTTGAGACAGGGGCCAATGCAAACGGGGGTCAGCCAGAGCGCCCGATCTTGCAGGATCCTGCCGGGCCAGGGTCGCATTGACCTGGGGTTGGGTGTAGGATCCTGCAGGATCTTGCAGGCTCCTTCGCATTGATCAGGGTTTGGGTGCAGGATCTTGCAGGATTTTGCAAGGTCCTTCGCATTGATCCCGGCTTTGGTGCAGGATCTTACACGATCTCGGAGGATTCTGCAAGGCCTGACTGACCCGGGTCTGTACTGACCCGGGTCAGAAGACCCCCGAAGTCTTTGGGCGTCGCGTACTGGGGGGGTCATACACGGGGGGGCGGCGAGGGTGGTCCGAAAAGGTACCCAAACGGTACCTAAACGAGCCCCCATGGGGCTCTGGGGGGGCCCGAAAGCGGCACGACAGGGGACCGCTTCGGACCTCCCCATTTTAAGCCTCAGAGGTTGATGTTTTCGATTCGCGAGAGGGCGTCGCGGCCGTTATTTTTGCGGGTCCAGGTCCGTCGGTTTCGGTCCTTGGCCGTTTTCACTAAAGGGAGGTTTACTAACGGGAGGTCTGTCCACCGCCGAAAGCCGCGCCCAACGCCTGCGTTGGGCCCAGAACGACGGTGGAAAAACGCATCTCCAACCAGTGCCTACATTCTTGAACGTCACTTTTTCTCTCCGTGAACTTCGTGTGGCTATTTCTGTTGGACCCTGGCGCCCACGAGAAGCCGCCCCCAACGCCTGCGGGCCGCCCCCAGGGATCTCCACCGCTCCTGCTCGGGAGGAAAAAACAAAAAACAGACACAATGAATCGTCGACCCCCCAGAAAATATGGGAAACTATGGGAAATGGGGGGGGAGACAGGAGCCCAGAGAAGATCGGAAAATCTGGGGGATCCTTGTATTTGCGTGTATTTGTTTGCGTGTCCCAGGGCCCCTTCACCTGCGGGGCCGGCCGGGCTTCCCGCCCCGAGCCGCTCTCTCGGCCGGGGCCCCGAGGGCCCCGGAGGCGGGCCCTGCCGGGGCCGAGGGCGCAGGAGGCGCGCGCCGTCGCGAGCTCTGCGCGGCTGCGCCCAGGCCTCACCGAGCGCGCGCCGCTCCTCGCCGAGTGTGACGAACGGACAACACGCACGCCATACCCATAGGGGGGTCGGCGGGAGGAGGACTTGCTATGGGCATGGGTGCGGGTTGTCGGACCGCGGGGGAGGCTCCCGTTCGAGCGGGGACCCCCATCCGACAGCACGCGCCCATAGCCCCCTCCGTCCTCCCTATGGGTATGGGTGCGTGATGTTCGTTCGTCAAGTGCCTACTCGCAGACGTCCGGAAAGCACCTGTCCGCTTCTATGCAATGTCTCGCAGACCCCCCGCGGGGGATCCAGGCCATCTGCGGGTGGTTAGTTACTTTGTGCGAGTAGTGGAGCGCGCTCGTGCAAGATCTGTGGTCTGTTGGTCTCGGGGAGGCGGAAGACTCCAGTAAGCCGGAGCTCGGGTTTGCCCGCGTTGTTTTGACGGGCGCGTCCCGGACTTTGACGGTCCGGTTTTCGTGGGATGTTTGCGGCGGGAGGTCGCGTCAAATTTCAGATTGGGCCATCGTCATGTCAATGATGGCCCCGTCAGGCCAACCCGAGTCCCCCGTACCCGAGTTTGACGTCTCCCCGATGGTGGAGGGTGAGCAGGCGGCCACCGTTTTTCACGTCGTTGGCCCCGCGGGGAAGGGGTCGGGTCTTCTCTGGGGGCTCCGTGTGGCAACGAGGCAGATGATTGGATGACGATCAAAGAAGAGGAGGATGAGGAGGAGGAGGAGGAGGAGGAGGAAGAGGAGGAAGGAGGACGGAGGAAGGATGCAGGAGGAGGACGAGCAGGAAGAGGATCAGTGGTAGAGTAGAAGGAGGCGTAGGACGAAGGGGGGGAGGATCGAGGAGGACAGAGAATCCAGATTATTGGATTATTTAGGCGCTTTCGGGGGTTTCTGGGAGGCTTCGTGTGATCTCTGAAAGCAGAGCGATGTGCTGCTGCTCGCGCTCCGTGCCCCTCCTCACTTAGCTGTTCTGTTGAAAAGAAGGATCGAAGATGAGGAGGAGAAGGAGGAGGATACCGTTCTTCTTATCGCCAACCCGTGAAACATGATGCCACCCAACAGTTGCTAGCTCCGACAGTGGCCAGGCGGCCAGGGGGGGACCTTAGGAGCCCTGGACCCCCCGACGTTGAGGATCACCCTGTGGAGCCCTGCCCAGAGAGAAAGGGGGAGGATCGTCGATTATCGAGCTTCATCGGATGTTCTCTGCTCACTGGAGTCTCTGGTTTGTGGAGGCATCTGGTGATCTCTTGAGACTCTCGGAGACCTCCTGCTGCCCTCATTCTTCCCTCTTCCTCCTCCTCCTCGCCCCTCTCGCCTTCTCTCTTCCCCTCATCCTCGCCCTTCCCTCCCTATTCTTTCTCAAGGGGGGGAAACTTAGAGAGGAGCAGGACCGAAGGAGGGGCAGGACAGGGAGGAGCAGGAAGAGGAGGAGAGGGGGGACCAGAGTGGGCCCACGATTCATACACGAATACGCCCACCAGTCACAAGTCCCTTCCTTGTTAGCTCCTATACGGGTGCATGTTCACTGCGGGAAGCGTCCCCTTGAACTAAGGGCGTTGAGCGCCCAATGGATCTAAAATTCTTGCGAGAGCACCATTTTGAAAAGAAGCTGCCATCCATTCATGTTTCTGGCTTCAAGGACGACGACGAGGTATGAGCATGAAGTCCGAGGATGCGTTCAGTGATAGCCCCGTGTTGACATGGGCCGCCCTCAATCCATGCTTTGCTCTTCACGTTCAATCGCCTGGTAGTGAACACGAGCAGGCCGAGTAGTTAAGCCGCACGCGATAATCCAGAATTGAAAACGAGCCGCCCTCCACTCGTGTAGTTGTTGTTCTGTGTCAGTCGTCTGATCATCAGGGGGTGGGGTGGCTTAAACGAACGCTTCATGTTGAAATGGAACCGCCCTTAATTCGCATGACAGTTGAACGCTCGTAGGACGACTGTGCGCGGAGCAAAGGCGATAGCCACAGTTTGAACAAGGAGCTGCCACCCACCCGTGCAGCTGTCGGAAGTTTGCCACGAATGCGTGTGGTGTTGAGGCGGAACATGTATTTTGAACCAGAATCGCCTTCCATGTAGTTGTGTATGATTTTCGAGGCGGCGCTAATGCCAGAGCCGTGTATTTCTCGGAAGCTTTCATGACGAGTGTGCGAAGCGCAAAGGCGATAGCCACATCTTGACCCCCGTCATTCATGTACCTGTTGAAAGTTTCCAGTTTTTGGGCCATCGGCGGGACGGAATTCTCAGCGGGAGCGCCAGACTTGTCCTACCGAGACGTCCTGCGGGCTGACGAGGAGAACTTATCTAACATGAAAAGGGAACGGGATGGACCAGGAGGAAGATGAGGAGGAGGAGAAGGAGGATGTCTTTCATGGTCGGTGTACCAGTACTCCCTCCTCCTCCTCCTCCTCCTCCTCCTCCTCCTCCTCCTCCTCCTCCTCCTCCTCTCTCTCTCTCTCTCCTGACACACATAGATACATCGCAGTCCTTTCATCTCTGCTCCTCTCCCAAGCCGCGGAGGAGGAGACGGTGTGGAGCAGCAGCAGGAGGCGGGACTGGTGAGAGGAGGGGGGATCCCGCGCCCACTCGCAAGGAGCTGCCTGACGCCGACGTCGACGGGGAGGAGGGCGAGGGATCCGACCAGGAGGCCCTCCAGCCGCTCGATCGACGACGACGACCTACGACCACGACGTCGAAGGACGACGACGACAACGGCGACCGCCGCCGCCGTCGACGGCGGCATCGATCGACGAACGCGACGACGGTCTTCGACGTCGACGACTGCGACGACGACTCCGACGACGACGTCAATGTCCACAAACACGGTCTACAACGACGCCTAGCGGTGACCTCTATTGGCTGCGATGACAGCGATTGACGGCGACGTCGGTCGAAGTCGACAACCGACGACGTCGATCGATCGACAGCGAAGAACGGTGACGATCGGCGGTGACGAAGATACCGAGCGGCAAGGGGACGTCGACTGGGGGCCCTGAGCGGCGTAAGGGAGACCAGACACGCCACACAATGTCGATCCCCGACCTTCGATCTTCCAGGATCTCGACCCTCTACCCTCGATCCTCGATCCTCGACCCTCGATCCTCGACCCTCGATCGTCGATCCTCGATCCTCGATCCTCGACCCTCGATCCTCGATCCTCGACCCTCGATCCTCGACCCTCGATCCTCGACCCTCGATCCTCGATCCTCGATCCTCGATCCTCGTCGGCGGCGACCACGACCGCGGCGGCGGCCCGCCTGGGCAGGCCGGCGGCGCCGCGGGGGCGCCCGGGGAGGAAGGCGGCGCGGCCGCCGACGAGGCGGCCCTCTCCGGGGGGGTGGGGGGGGGGGAGGATTTTACGAGGAGGAGGAGGAGGGGGAGGGAGGCGGATTCTACGAGGAGGAGGAGGATGAGGAGGAGGAGGAGGAGGATTTTACGAGGAGGGGGGATTTTACGAGGAGGGGGAGGAGGAGGAGGAGGAGGAGGAGGAGGAGGAGGAGGAGGAGGGAGGAGGAGGAGGGAGGAGGAGGGGGAGGGGGAGGAGGAGGATTTTACAAGGAGGAGGAGGGGGAGGGACGAGGAGGAGGAGGAGGAGGAGGAGGAGGAGGACTTGGGGGGAAGTTTACGAGGATGAGGAGGAGGAGGATTTGACGGGGAGGGAGGACGGATTTGACGAGGAGAAGGAGGAGGCAGGGAGGAAGGAGGAAGACCCTCCCTCCTTCATCCTCCTTTCCTCCCCTCCCTCCCTCCTTCCCCTCATCGTCGTCCTCCCCTCCTCCTCCTCCCTTCCTCCTCGCATGGCCTCGGGCACGACGCCCAGCCTGGAGGATCCGGGCCACCAGTCATTCCTTTCATCGCCACCGTCCTTTTTCTGGTCGCATCGGTTAACGGCCAGACGCTCTCGCCATGTCCAGGTGGTGGAATCAGAAGCAGTGCTACTCACCACCCACCAAACCACCCCAACCCAACTCGAAGGCCTGAATTTGCCCTCCATTTCCACTGGGGGGTGGGGTCGGGGAACTTGGACAAAAACACATGGAGCCCGTACCCGCCCGAACCCGAAATTCGGGTCAAATTCGGATCTTCGGGTTGGGTTGGGTTGGGGTGGTCTGGTAGGTAGTCAGCTACACAGTGTGCAGCACAGCATGGTGCAAGGGATGGGCCTGGAGCAGCCAAGCTGGGCACACGCATTGCCGCAGTTGTGGCAAAGAATTCGAGCGGGCCAGTCAGCATCGGGAAGCCGTGCCAGGAGCTGATCGTGGCAGCCGGCCTCCAGAGTGCCAATCGTCGCAGTCGATGGGGCCGGCGCGCAGGCAACGGCACCGTGGACCTCCCACTCGAGGGCAAAGACGGAGACGGCCAGCAAGCACCAGAACAGGACGAAGTTCAGATATGCTTGTCAGCGCTTGCCTTCGGGAAGAAGAGGGTCGGGACCCCTCGGAAGCGGTATTTGCAGACCCAGGAGGGCCTGAAGCGAGCCGAGGCCCAAATCCTCAATCACAATCGCCTCGACGCCAAGACCCAGAGCTTGGCAGACCAACTCCAGCGCCAGAGGCGCCGTCTGCAGGCCAAGAAGGGTGATAGCGACAAGAACCTCATCAGCCTCGAGAAGGCCGACGGTAAGTCCATTCAAAGCTGCTTGAATTTCAAAATTCCACATCTGCTCGGGGTGCAGTGGCGGAGAACACAGCCAGGTTCGAGCAGGCCCCGGCCACCCTGCTCCAGTTTGTGGACGGCAACGTCGGCAAGGGTGCGCTTCAGAGTCTTCGGGAAGAGCTTGAGAGCGTCACTGCCAAGTTGCACCAGCACTGGGAAGGAGGATAAGAAGAGCGAGGTATCTTCCACCGACTCCAGTTTCGAGCAGCAGCAACAACAGCAAGAACCAGCAGTACCCGATGGTCCCAGCAGTGCCGCCCAGGTTACGTCAGTCCTTGAGTATGCTCCTCAGGACATGCAGGTCGATTTTAGGGACGGCTGCAAGATGACGGAGTCCGAGCTGCCGGTCGCGGCCGCCGCGCATGCAGCCGAAGGCCTCTCCGACGCTGCCGCGCAGGCGCAAGCCAGCCTGGCCAAGCGTGCAGCAGTCTAGGCTTCCGTGACTGCTAGGTGCCAGCGAGGGTCGTAAGGGTAGCACTTTGAGTCTTTGCGCGTTCAACAGCAGCAGTTACACTGGCGTGCGCAAGTTTCTTGTTTTGAAGCTGCCAAAGCGGCCCAGGTTATCTTGCCAGGAAACACGTATTCGACCTAAAGGTTTGGATTACGAGAGGCAGTGGTGTGCTAACAGGGGATGGTCAGCAGTTTTGTCGCCAGCTATTCAGCTATTCTTAGTCCAGCAGGGTTTGCCTGCCAGGGTGCTGGAATCCTAGTGCGCGCGGACCTCGACTTCGGCATCTCTCCTCTCGAGGTGCCCGACGATTTCCCCAAGCCTCGGGCCGCCGTCATGTCTCTTGAGGTCCCAGGAAATCGTACCTTCTGCCTCGGATTTATCCACCTCGCGGACAGCGCCGGCCTGAACGAGGCCAACTTGACTGTCCTTGCCAGCGACGTTCAGATTGCCGCCAACAACCAGCTGCCAGTGATAATGGCTGGCGATTTCAATGTTGGGCCGTCTAGGGTGATTGAAACCGAGTTCCTGTCCAGAGTTGGGGTCCAGATCATCGTCCCAGAGAAGCCCATTGTGTGCACCGAGAAGAGCAATTCGACGATCGACTATTTCTTGGGATCCAGCTTTTTCGAGCACTACCTGAGGCAGCCGTATGCCCTAGTTGACTACCCGCGTAGTCCACGCAGACCAGTCGTGACGGAGATGGCGGCGGGAGCCCCATACCTCATCCCGATCCTGGAGCAGCCTCAGCAAATCCTTACTGTGGCCCCGGATGGGCCCAGTAACCGCTTGCCCGAATTGGGCAGGAGTCTCTGGGTTCCGGAAGCTTTGGAGGACCTTCTAGACCAGCGGGGTAATCACTTACAGCAAGGGGCCCCTGGGGCCTCTTCCCAATATCGAACGCATGTCTCACCGGCGCAGTGGGCCAAGCATGCGGATATCTCGCGGGCGACTTGTCCACCTCTTCCTGTGTTTCAACTGGCGCGCCGCTTTACAGTCGGCGCCATCGCGCCCGGGCACCTTCTGCCCGCTGGGTGCCGGCGTCAGCCATCGAGGCCAAGGATCGGAGGAGTTGGAGGAATGCTGCAGCTGCTGTCATATGGCCAAGCAATCTTGCGACTGATATCCGGAGGGGAGCCGAGGAGGAGTCGATGGAGGAGCTGTGCTAGGCCCAGCATGATCTCTCGCAGCCGCCAGCGTCGCTCGAGCAAGTCGCCGAATTCCCTGCCCTCCTCAGCAGTGCTCGATGGCCCTGGGCCGCGAGACTTCTCGGGGCCGCCCGGGCGACATAGCCGCCCGCAGACTCTGGGTCAAAGCTGCGAACACACGGGTGGGGTCGGCCCACGGGTGGTTCACGGCTTACTCCTCCGGGCAACCTCATCGCGTTTGGAAGCAGGAACAGTTGATCTTTTAGAAGCCGAACGGCAGCGTCTCTCCCCCCGTGGAAGGCAGCGCCACAGGAGCAGGTGCCAGATTCTCTCGAACCGGATGCTCGAGGCCTCGACCTCGAGCCGATAGCGGCGGATCAGCTTCGCCGAGCCAGCCGACGACGGACTTGGGGCGGGGTCCACCCCGGGCACTTCAGCCTCCAGGAGGACGCCGAAGTGGACATTGTGTGCAGGCTCCTCAGGGCCAGTGAGACCAACAAAGAGCTATCGTGACCGTCGTCATAGCGCAAAGCTGGTCCCACCCCAGGTCAAAGCTACCGTGGTATATGTATAATGCCAGGGCTCTGGAGAGCCCGGTACAAACATCGTCGATTTGAGTGTCGAGCTAGGGGGCAACAGAAAAAGAGAGAACATAAACCTAAACATATCAGGCCATGTTTGCCGAGGGGGGCTTCCTGGGCGACGAGAAATTGTTCTCTGGGGCCTCTCTAAGTATCCCGAATATATGTGGATACGTATACATATAACGGCGCACCGGGTCCGGGGGCCCGGGGCCGGGACCCCGACCACAAATGTGGGCTCCGGGGGGCCCGGAGGCTCGTCGGGGCTTGCCGGAGGCCTCCCCGGTCAGACAAGACGGCCCCAGGAGCGCCCAAGACGGCCCAAGAAACTTCCAAGGGGCCTCCAAGAGGGCTCCGAGATGCTGAAGATGGCCCCAGACGTCCAAGGACGCCCCCAAGAGGCCCCAAGAAGCTTCCAACATGCGTCCCAAGAGGGCCCCTAGACGCAAAAATTTGCCCATTCCCTTCGTAAAACGTACATGTTTCACAAAGTCGCCTTTTGGGCTTTCCGACGTTACAGGACGGCCCAAGAGGCGCCCAAGACCGCCCCAAGACGGCCCAAGAAGCTTCCAAGAGGGCCCCAGGACAGCCCAAGAGGGCCCCAAGACGGCCCAAGAGGCGCCCAAGATGGCCCAAGAGGGCCCCAAGACGGGCCCAAGAGGGGGCCCAGAGGGGGACCACGAACCGCAAGCTCGAGCCTTCCGCCCCAAGAGGCCGCCAGGAGGCCCCCAGGAGGCCCCTCAAGAGGCCCCAGGAGACCCCAGACGTCCAAGGACGCCCCCAAGAGGCCCCAAGAAGCCTCCAACATGCGTCCCAAGAGGGCCCCTAGACGCAAAAATTTGCCCATTCCCTTCGTAAAACGTACATTTTTCAACAAAGTCGCCTTTTGGGCTTTCCGACGTTACAGGACGGCCCAAGAGGCGCCCAAGACCGCCCCAAGACGGCCCAAGAAGCTTCCAAGAGGGCCCCAGGACAGCCCAAGAGGGCCCCAAGACGGCCCAAGAGGCGCCCAAGATGGCCCAAGAGGGCCCCAAGACGGGCCCAAGAGGGGGCCCAGAGGGGGACCACGAACCGCAAGCTCGAGCCTTCCGCCCCAAGAGGCCGCCAGGAGGCCCCCAGGAGGCCCCTCAAGAGGCCCCAGGAGACCCCAGACGTCCAAGGACGCCCCCAAGAGGCCCCAAGAAGCCTCCAACATGCGTCCCAAGAGGGCCCCTAGACGCAAAAATTGGCCCATTCCCTTCGTAAAACGTACATTTTCAACAAAGTTGTCTTTTGGGCTTTCCGACGTTACAGGACGGCCCAAGAGGCGCCCAAGACCGCCCCAAGACGGCCCAAGAAGCTTCCAAGAGGGCCCCAGGACAGCCCAAGAGGGCCCCAAGACGGCCCAAGAGGCGCCCAAGATGGCCCAAGAGGGCCCCGAAACGGGCCCAAGAGGGGGCCCAGAGGGGGACCACGAACCGCAAGCTCGAGCCTTCCGCCCCAAGAG